ATTGGAAATGTGCAGCAGTCATTGTGGAGAGACAGAGTAGAAAGTTCAGGGAGCTCTTGTAGTATTGGGAGCATTGAGACAGTGACATTTAAGAGTTAGACTTTATAAAAAGGGGGTCCTAAGAGGAAACTAAGCTTGGAAGCCAGCAATCCAAGAGTGATAATAGAGAATGGCCTTCAAGAAGCCAGTGAGGTGAGAATTTTAGAAAGAAGAAATAGTCCATATTTTAAATAAATATTGCAAGAAGTCAGAATAGGGAAGTCATCACAATAAACAGCTTTTAGGGAAGTGTATGAGAGGAAGCAAGTATATGGAGGTTTTTTTGTTATTTTGAACCAAATCTATTTATTTGATAAGAGGAGGAGCGCTATAAAAAAGGGAAGCATTTAGTGATAATTGTAGGAAGGGAAATGATAAAAATGCTTATTGAGCATCTGCTAACATCCATGTGAGTGTATGTATGTGTACCTGTATAGAAGGGGCACAGGTAACACATTCATAACCTATAGGCAGAATGCTAGTGTAACAAGAATCAGAAAATAAATGAAATCAGGGCTATAGAACGAGTGAGGAAAGTGGGATGAAGGTGCTGTTTCCACGGAAGGCATCTGGGATGAGGTGACAGTCAAGGGGAGGCCTGAACTAAAGAATAACAGAGGGGCCGAGAAGTGGGAGAGAGGGATCCTTAGAAGCAAAGCCATCTTCCTCTGGGGGAGTGGTCACACATGACTAATGGCTCCCTATAGTTCATGTTCACCATCAGACAGACACCATAGTTTCTCTACCCCTATGAGGCAGGTGTCGTTACCATTTGGTAAGCTGGGAAGCAACATCTGGAAGAGAGGTTTTACATGTTTAGTCTTTGTTGGAGCCTGGATTCCTACTCTGCTTTTTGGTATTTCAAACCCTGGCTATTACACTACCTCCTGTAGACTCTTCAAGCATAGTGAAAGACAGTATGGCAGAAGGGAAGAAGCTGAGAACTTTCTCCTATTAGACCCTCTCTATAGTCAGGAGAGGCAGAGCCTTGTAAAAAGTGACTGGATAGGGGTTTAAGGAAGGTGGCATTCTCCAAGACAGCTTTGCCTTCTTAACTAACTTTTCCCAGATGAGTTACTCCCTTTATCCAATTGATAATTCATCCAAAAACTTCTTGTAACAATGAGATTGTCTTACTTGTGCTTGCTGTTAACTTAGTTCTTAAGAACCAGTTATTGAATGACATGAACTTGATGTTTTGAGATTTTTTATGTATTTATTTCATAATGCAGCCTTGGAAATGGCACCAACATGGTTAGATAGAACTTACGAACTAGAGACATACAGTAATTAAGTAAAAAAAATTGTTCCTAAATGTTCCTATTGGAACTGGGCACCTATTTTTCTTGAAGACTTGTTAGGTAGGTGGGTGTAGAAGGAAAGGAACTTTTGTGCTCTTTGCTTGCTCTTGTTACCTGCAGCATCTGTTTTAAGGAAGGTAATTAAATGCTGAACATGCATAGGTATTGAAATACAATGAGGGGAGCCAGAGTCCTAGTTTTCATGTAATTCAGAAGTTATACACATGATTCCCTCCCCTTTCCCCGCCCCACCGACAAATTCCCTGGTTTACTCACACAGTTAGGGGAGTTCAGAATTGTGTATATTATCTTTCTAATTAAGTGTGGAGGCCAAGAAAATTACTGTTTGATTTGTTCTTTATTGAATCAGGAAAATCTAATCACAACTTCTGAATGATGGCAGTGCAGCCGCGGAGACCATAAACACCCTTTCCTGTGTGTGCAGACATACGGATGCTGCATTGGGTCTGTTTATTCATTTATTTCTGGTTCATAAAACCTAGTTCAAGAAGCAGATTAGACTGTTTTTTGCTTTTTTTAAAAAAATGTGCCATCACAAAGACTTAAAAAGCAGAGATAATTCAAGCGAGAATGTTTGTAAATTGTAGCACTGTCATTCAGCGAAGTCAAAGTCAACACATGCTTACTGAGCACCCATTGATGCTGGTGACCACTGTTACAGTGTAAGGTGGCAATCTGCTGGTGTGCGATGGTCCGCAGGAGTGCTAGGAGTGAGTGATTCAACAGTAGTCATTTGAAGCTTGCCAACACTTGCTTTCAGGGAAAGCTCAGCTATTCTCGCAGTACCGGCACTTGGATTCTTGGGGTTTTTCTTTTAATTTTTTAAATTGTTATAAAGGTGATGTACCAGAGGGGTTTCAATGAACCTAAGTCAGGTAAAGAGTACATTTCTTTTTGGATAATGTCACCCCTTTCCCTCGCTCTTTCCCAGTTGTTCCCTCCCATCCCCAAGTTGTATAGTTCATTTTCAGTTCAGTGTCTAGTGAGTACCACTGTGGCATTTGTTCACCCTTTGTCCCTCTATTTCTGTGACTTGTGGGTTTTGTACTCATAATCTCTCTCAGAGGACAGAATGTGATAAGATGAAAGGAAAAGATAAGTTTACAATCTCTAGCTTCCCTTTCATTCAGGCCATAGTAGCCCCACCTCTTCCACCATCTTTGGGTTGGTGATGGCATTCCTATAAAAAGTGGCCTTCTCTTCGCCCTCCTACCTCATCCTTGAGCTTCCTCTGAGGTCAGGCACATTTCCTCCTGCTGAATTGCCTTGGGATACACTCCTTAATGTGGAACTGACATACAAAAGAATTGAAACTGGCACTGTTAGCTATTCAGGAGACTGAGATCTGAAGATTGAGGCAAGAAAGTATTTGAGACACATCTCTAGTTAACCACTAAAAAAGCCAGAAGTAGTGCTGTGGCTCAGGTGGTAGAGTGCTAGCCTTGAGCACAAGAAGCTCAGGCCCCCAATGAAGGCACAGGACTGGCACCAAAAAAAAAAAAAAAAGTTGGAACAGTTTATACATCTAGTAGCACCTTGCTTGGTGATGCTCAGAAAGCTTAAATAATTAAAAATAGGACCTGTTCTCCCATGTTCCTGACAGTTTTGGGATTGTGGTTATTACACGTTAGATTGTGGTGCTGAATAGAAACTGTGTTTGTTAATGTTTCTGCTGCTTGGTGTTTGTGCTAGTTCTTTATATATTAAAAGTCATTTTTATTGGCATTGGAATTTTTAAAAATTTGTCTAAGTGATTTCATTTTGTTGGGAAGAATTTAGAGTACATTTGTCTTGTATTTATAAGACAAATACTGACAATACTCCTTTTTATCAGCTAGAGTTCTTTACCAAACTTGCTTCTTCATCTCAGAGTTTGTGGAGTTTGCGATGGTTGGGAATGTTCATCTGAGTTCATAATTTGACATTGAGAGATAAATTTATACTAACATAAATTTACCTAGGACTTACTCCACTATAAATGAAATAGGGGCTGGGAAGGTGGCTCAGTGGTAGAGCGCTTGCCTTGCATGCTTGAGGCCCTGGGTTCGATTCCTCAGCACCATATAAGCAAAAAGAAAAAAAGCCGGAAGTGGCGCTGTGGCTCAAGTGGTAGAGCACTAGCCTTGAGCTGAAGAGCTGAGGGACAGCGTCCAGGCCCAGAGTTCAGGCCCCATGACCGGACTCAAAAAAAAAAAAATTGAAATGATTCAGGGGGGAAAAAAGAGACATAATGGATGGCTTTCTTGGGGTTAATAATTGTATCTCCAGATACTAAGCAATGTGGTGATTTTTTTCTCCATCTCTACCCTCCCTGCTTTCCCGGCCTGTTTCCTTGACTAATGAAAGAGCACTTCTTGCAAAGAGCAGTATCTTGGTGGATGGTCTCTATATTACCCTTCATAGAATTTTATGACCGCTTTTATAGGTGTGTGTGTGTGTGTGTGTGTGTGTGTGTGTGTGTGTGTGTGAGATGAAGTAATGTTAGGACTTATGAATATAATATGGAATAAGTAAATCAAAGTACCATCTCAAATACTTCACTGCAATTTAAAAAGCCTCAGTGTCTGCATCACTTTCGTTTAGATATAAATAATTATGAAACTTATACATAGTTGTGTGCCTTTAAAATAATTTTCCAGCTATTAAGAGTTCTTGTGGAGGAAGTCCGAGAAATCAAGTAAATAGTCATTATTAGGAAATGTTAAGTCTAGCCTAGAGCCAAAAGTGAGGAAATCTGTGACCCCTTTGTTGTGCATTTGTGTTGTGTGATGGATCTAAAGTAGCACTTGTGTTAGTAATGCACAGCCTCAAATTCTTATCTGAAGTTTTTTATCTAAAGTTCTAGAATGCTCTGTTGTATCTATAAAGACAATTACTGGGCTCTATAGGGTTCATAAGTCATTTAGAGTAAAAGCTCACTGCCACGGAGACCATTACTGTTTGAGTAGGGATAAAGATTTAAGTCCTGGGTAAAATAAAATCAGTCAGTTAAAAAGAAATCATATGACAGAAAGTAAAGGAAGGAGGACTTTGTAAAAAAAAAAGAAATACTCATTATCTGACTTACGAAATGATAGCCCCTCTCTACAACACTTTAATAATAACAATAAAAACTATATTTTTAAAAAATCATATGAGGTTGGGGGTATTGGCTCATACCTGTAATCTCAGCAACCTAGGAGAAGGAGGATCATGGTGTGAGGCCAACTATGTAAAAACGTTGATGAGACCTATCTCAGCCAGTAAGCCAGGTTGTGGTAGTGTGTGCCTGTGCTTGTCCTGGCTATACGAAGGCAGTAGGTAGGAGAATTGCAAACTGAGGGCAGCCCTAGGCAAAAAACACAAGACCCTGCCTAAAAACTAACTAAAGGAAAAAGGGGCTAGGGATACGGCTTCAAGTGGTAGAGCTCCTGCCTGCAAGCATAAGGCGCTGCTACTCTTTACTTCATCCTACCTGGAACAATACATTAGAGTCTTGCTAGATAGGATTAGATTGATCTTAGGGTCCATGCCCTAAGGACAAAATGTCCTATTGACATAATGCTCTAGTTTATGTTTTCTTCCTGTGGCTTGAGTGTTCTGAAGATAATCCAGACTTTCAATTTGGTTCTTACTGTAATCTTTACCTTTCTGTTTTACAGAAATAAGTATCTTCCTTCAATACATGAAGATGAAAATACAGAAGAAGGAGAAGCAGGTAGGTGGCCCTCTTTCTGTCAAGGGAGCACATCTGGATCAGGAGGGGATGCTGAGAGTGTGCGTGTGTTTTAACTCCGAGTGTCCTGTTGCCTGATTCCCAGCCAGCCTGGGATGACTTACTAGATAGGGAGCAATATACTATAAACTGTAACTTAGGATATTCCTAAAAAATATTAAAAGAGAAATGTTTCCTGTCTTGAATAGCTTTTCATATTTCCCTGGGAGGTAGGACCAATTCCTTCTCATTTACATATTAATTTGAGCAGTTGCTTAATGAAAAAGTCTTCTGGAGTTTATGAAATTATCTTATTAAAGGAGTTGTACAAAACTGTTCATGAATACAGTGTGTCTTGATCACTGTTACCCCTTTTATCATTCTCCCCATCCTCCCAACCCACCTCTTCCCTCAGTGTTCTTAATTTTGTAGGCCATACATTGAATTCTACCCCCATTCCTATCCTCCTTGATCCTGCCCCTGCGTTTTGAGTACCTGTTTCCTGATATTTATTTTGTTGGACTGTGAGTTAGTATTTCTAAAAAATTAAACTGTTTGAGTTCTTCCCTGACTCTACCATATTTGTGTTAATACTCTTATACACACTTGGATACCACCCCAAAGTGTTTACTTAAATGTTTATAAACTCTACATTCCACACATAAAAGAAAACATGCATCCTTTGTCTCTCTGGTCTTGATTTCACTTAACATGATTTTTTTTTCCAGGTCCTTTCATTTCTTCGCAAATGATGCAATAGCATTCTTTCTAATGCATGAGGAAAATTCCATTTTGTATATATACCACATTTTCTTGATCCATTCATCCATTGAGGGGTATCTGGGCTGGTTCTCTCCTTTGGCTATGGTGAATAGTGCTGCAGTGAATATGTTGTGCAGGTGGCTTTATCATATCCTAGTTTGTAATCTTTTGGATAAATGATCAAGAGTAGATATGAAATTCTTACAATGATCCATGAAGAGTTCCTCCGAGAGGGATCGGTGAATGAATTGAAAGGATGTGCACATCTGCTGTTTGGCCTTTGGTCTCTTGAAGGGGAGGGCAGTTCATAATATTCTGTCGCTTTTGACTCACCTAGGATCTCTTTGCTTAGTTGTTAATTCCTGTGCCTTAGGTGGTTTGAAAGGCTTGGGGAAGTGATTGTCTTGTAGACAATCTGTCCCTGAAAGACTGATTCTCCTTTACAGAATTGGATGTCAATGGGATGATTGAGTCTTCTGACTCCCAGTCTCTCTTTAAGACCTTGTGCTAAGCAGCTGGATGGGACTAGCCACTCTTTTCAGTGTGCTTCTTGTGAGCCCTTGTTAGATGCTAGGGGGACACAGGAAGGTGGTTGCAGCAACTAATCTCTGGCCTATCTCTGTGTGGTGTGAATCCACTGACTTGAGGAAGTAATTCTTACCTGCAGCCAGTTCTTAACAGGAAAAGCAGTTACTGATGTAATACCATCTACGTCCATGATTTCTTTCTGACTTGGCTCTAGAGTGAGTTGTGTACTGGTAGGCAAGCACTGTAAAGAAACCTCATCGATCACAGCACAGTTGCCATCTAAAGGAATAGGTCACTGCTGTTATAAAAACACACATTACTGCCGGGTGCTGATGGCTCAGAACACACACACACACACGCACGCACGCACGCACGCACGAAGAGAGCCGCCAGCCCCTCAAAACTTAGAAATGTGGGCAGGGTTATAGTTCTTACAGCAGGTTTCATATTTAATTCATACATTCTTTTTTAAATTATACTTTTGTTATCTTTAAGTAGCTGTGCAAAGGAATTACCATTCAACAAATAAGTTTATATACAATGTATCGTGACCAATATCACCCCTTTCATTATTTTCCCTCTTTTTTTTTTTTTTTGGTCGGTTGTGGGGCTTGAACTCTGGTCCTGAAATATGTTCCTCAGCTGAAATTTCAGCTCAAGGCTAGCACTCTACCACTTGAGCCACAACGCCACTTCCAGTTTTCTGAGTTATTTATTGGAGATAAGAGTCTCATGGACATTCTTGCCCGGGATGGCTTTGAACCACAATCCTCAGAGATCTCAGCTTCCTGAGTAGCCAGGATTACAAGCATGAGCCACTGGTGCCCGGCTTTTCCCTCAATTTTTAAACATTCTTTAAGCTTTTATTTAAGCATAAACCTCTGAATCAGTTATCCTTTCATGATTTTTATTGTTTCATATTAAGACCTTTGGTGTTAGCCAGATATAGACCTTACAGTAATGTTACTGAAGAGAGCGGAATTTTTATTTAAAAGTTTAGTAGTAGCTGTGGAGGAGGATTGGGTTAAATAAGTAGAGCCACTTCCAGGAAGAGTTGTTCTTTCTCTTGACAATACTGGTATTAGGTCATACAGATGACTGAACTGTATGAAAATATAAGATTACACTGGCACTAAAGCAATTGGTAGCCCCAGGATTGAGTGTGTACCATCAAGGTAGGGTTTGACCCCAGAGAGGCACTGCTCGCATTGCAGATAAACTTGGGCTTCCATTTTTGTAGAACCAGATTGAAATTCCCACTGTACCAGGCAAGCTCAGCCTCAGTTTTCTCTTAAATGAAGTCTTACATTGTAAGTAGTTTGTAAAGTACTTAGTATTCACTGTATGAGGGGTAAGGAAATCTTTAGTGTAACAATAAAAGTAATCACCAAGCTTTCTTTTCTCTTACCATGATTCTAAAATGCTAGAAGTAGCAGTAAATAAAACATATACTCTTTACAAATTCTCATTTCTGCTCATTCATATTACCTCTTCTCTGGAGAAAAATGACATGTAAATACATTCTGATCTTGAAAATGCCTCATTTCCCTGTTCAAAATTCTCTCAAGGTAAATTAAACTGAGAAATAGCCTCTGTTCTTCTAGTTGATAGTTTTTCAGATTTGGAGTATATTTTCCTGCTGGTAGATTGAAGCAGTGTGGCTCAGTAATCAAACATTGTTTCTGGTGAAGGCATTGTATGCAGACGTGTGAGCACCAGCCTTCAGCAAAAAAAGTGAAGAAGAGTGCCCAGGTCCTGAGTTCAAGTCCCCTGAACTAAAATGAAAAAAAAAAACAAAAACAAAAATAAAAGAAAATGAGAGGAAGAGTATGAAATTACCTGTACCAGTTATTAAAAAAATTACAACAGAGCAAAAAAGCACCGAAGATAAACTCATATAAAACAAAATGAGTATTTTCGCGTTTTCTCTCTTCTGTGTGTGTGTGTGTGTGTGCGCGTCTGTGTGTGTGTCTGTGTATGTGTCTGTGTCTTTGTGTTTGTGGAATTTCTAGGGAACATGGGTATCATGACACTAGCTATTGGGTTTCTTCTTGCCTTATATACAAAATATAACCACCTTAGCCATTTCTTCTATTTTGATTTTAACTCAAATACTTAGCCCCTTCTTTGTCTAAGCCATCCAAAGTACTACTCAGTTGGTAATGAGGTAGTCAAACAGAATTAGTTTTCTCCCTCTCCTTTTCTTCTAAAGTAGTAAATCTTGCCAGAAAAAAACAGTTCTCCCTGGATTTAGGCTAGTTTATGATGCTAGATCTTATTTAAATCTTGCTTTCCTTTGATTTTTTCTTCCCAGTATTCTCAGTGATATGTTTGGTAGCATCCAATTGGGGAGGGGCACTGGAGAACAAGGGAAAGTCTCTATCATGATTGGGCTGTGCCCAGAAGCATAAATACACACTAGAGGGAAAACATATCATGCGGGCAAGTATCTGTGCCTTTATCACATGCCAGGCTCTTGTTAGAAGAGCGGGCTTTCCACAAATGGAGCTGCTTCTAAGCCACCATCTGAAGATAATTGTATCATCTTCCTGGAAAGCCTGCTGCTCCTTCCTCGGCCCTCCCTGTGTCATTTATTTCAGACCAGGGAGAGTGTGCTATTCCCTGGAGTAATCACGTACCCACGTTATTTTTATTATTGTTAGCTTTACCCACCTTGGTTATGAAATGGCAAATTATTTTAGGGACACCAGACCTAAAAGTATGCAATGAAATTTCTATTTCCAAAGGGATGTTTCCTTAAAAGTGGTTACTTTGGGAGGCCATGCTTTTATTTAACGGTGCTTAAAGATAGGCTTTGAAATTTCCTTTCTGGGTCTGCTTTCAGCACCTGTGATGCTTCCTTTCTAATGGCATCAATCCAAGTAAAGGGCACTATAAGAGGCCAGAGGATTTGCAAGAGGCCACTTAGTCTGGTGACTAAGTTAGATGATCATGTACAACCATACCATGTTAGTTGATCCTGATTTTTTTTTTTTTTTTTGCTCCAAATCAGCTCAGCTGAATGTCATTGCCTCTTAAGGCCATGTATTTGACACTACATTCTTATCATCCCAGTGACTGGGAGGCCTCAGAATGAATTTGAATAGTAGCTTTTGTGTACTGGTAAGAGAAATGTCCTCTGGATAGGTCATTGTGTGCTTCTCTGAGGGTATTTTGTGGGAAACTTACATAGTTTCCTGTTTTACACTTAAGCAATATTTCAGATTTCTTAAAATAATATAGAAGTGCTCCAGGCTTTTTCCTACGAATTTTTTTTACTGTAACAGCATCTTGATATGGCTCCGTAGGGCCAAGGCCCTGTGTGTCCTGTTGCTGCTGTATGCCCAGGGCTTGGCACAGTAGGAACTCAGTAAATTTGTTGAGTAAATCTAGGCATTTCAGCTTCATAGCACTCTGTATATGATACATGCCACGGGAAGGTAACATGCTTTTTTCTTTGTTTTACAGTTGTCAAATTTAAAAGTTTTCAATCACTCCCCAATGTCTGATGCCTCTGTCAATTTTGACGACAAATCCCCATCACCGTTTGACTGCAGCACTGACCAGGAAGAGAAAATTGAAGATCTTGCCAGTCACTGTCTGTCCCAGAAAGACCTGTACACTGCTGAAGAGGATACCCTTTTTTCTAGGAAAATGACATCCCATAATGGGATGGAAGACAATGGGGGTAGAGGTACTGGGGTAAAGAAGAAACGGAAGAAAAAGGAGCCAGGAGAACAAGAGGGTACAGCAAAGGGCAGCAAGGACAGGGAGCCCAAGCCAAAGAGGAAACGAGAGCCCAAAGAGCCAAAGGAACCCAGGAAGACCAAGGAACCGAAGAAGGCCAAGGAGCCCAAGGAGCTGAAGCAGAAAGATGGAACTAAGAAGTCCCGGAAGCCTCGGGAGGCCTCAGGTACCAAGGAGGCCAAAGAGAAGAGGAGCTGCTCGGACTCTTCAACCGGGACGAAGTCTAAGAAGGCCAGGTGCATACCTTCCTCCCTCCCCATTCCCTTGCCTCTGCATCTGTGGAATCATTGGTCTTTGGCATTATCCCAGATGCCTGGGCATATCTTCACTGTACTCCTGTGGGCCCAGGCTTCATACGTCACTTAGGTAGCATGGGATGATGGGGGTGGGATAACTATTTGGTACTAATAGGAAGAGTTGTCTCTGGGGGTTGCTATTTGCTAATTTCATTCCTGGCGTTATGGTACCTAAAAAACAAGATCTGTGTTTTTAGGATACTCCCAAGAGTATCCTTTTCAGATCCCATCCATCCCTTTTGGTGTGTACTTAGAATTTAGCATTCTTCCTGTGGTCTCTGGCATCCTGTCTCCTGTATCGGTATGCCCCTTCTATGCCATGTTGATGTGTTTTTGTCTGTAATAGCTTTCAGCCAAAAAGCAAACTGCCTTTCATACCTCCTTGTGAGAAAGCTAGCCTTCATTGGTGCTAGTCACACAATTTCTTGCTCTTCTGTTTGGATTAAGAAGAACATGCATGAGGCAGAAAGGAAGGGACATCCTGGGTCTGACGGCAGCCTAGGGGCAGAGGTTGCAGCCGTGGAGATGAGTGGTACAGTGGCCTGGGAGAGTTGTGGATGTGCTGTTTCAGAGGCAAGATGCCTTTCTAGGCTCTGAGCTCTAAGCATTTGGATCTAATTCTCTAGTTCATTGTCTGACACAGTGCTTGGCCTTTTCACAACTGCTCAAGAAATATTGAGGAAATCAGGCCAGAGGATACCATCGTGACTTGTAGGACCAAAGGCCGGGCCACAGAATCCCTGCAGTGGGTGTTGTGAGAAAACTTGGGAGGATAACAGATGCGCTCCTTACACGGCAGATCCAATATTTCCCATCTGTGTGCAAACATTCTGCTTTACACATTTTGAGACATATAAAACAAAACATATATAAGCCTTTTCTCAAGGCAGTTTTAAGTTCCTGAAGTCTGAGCATTATAAAGAGACAAGATATGTGTCTCTCTGTTTGCCATGTCAGACTAAGAGCAGTCATCATGCACGCTCAGATATTTATGTGAATACTGAGGGACCTCCCGTACCTGTGTTGGGTCAGACACAAGTTTTAGAGAAAAAACTTTTTTAAGAGCAATGGGCTGTAACTTGAAGTTTACTGTACAGTCCATTTCTCTTTTAGGAGAGTTTGTTTGGAACCAGATGGATGATTTCCTAATTAAAGTAGAAGTGCTACTTCATGATATTCACTCCCTTCTGCTGATCTTTTATCTACTAAAGCAGCTTAGGGGTTGGGAGATGCTAGGATGTAGTTTGCAGAGAGTATGGCTATTAAATACCATAGAAGAGAGGTAGGTAAAGTCAGAATTCCTGTTCTACCTAGCTGCTCAGGAGGCTGAGATCTATGTGTTGCACTTTAAAGCCAGCCCAGGTAAAAATGTCTGTGAGACTCTTCAGTTAATCAATTAGAGGCAAGTTTGTAGGTTTGGCTCAAGTGGTAAAGCACCAAATGTGAGCAAAAACACTTAGGTGAGAGAACAAGGCTCTCTCTGGGTTCAAGCCTCAGTACCAGCACGTGTGCATGCGCATGTGCACACACACATTTGTTTCTCAGTTAACCTATGGAAGACACTCTGATCTCCCATATGTGAATGGTAGGGCATAGTGACTGACTTCTGCCAACAGTTTTCACTGGAAAAGTAGCGTAAGTAGTTCTTTGGTGTAAAACCATTGTTTAAAGAAGGAGTTATCATTCCTGAACTGGTGGTTATTTATTTTGGTTTTATAGAACACAGTAAGGAAATCGGATAGTGCTTGTGAGAGTAGAGGTAGTCAGAGGAGGTTTCATCGATCGCAGATTTGGTTTGGAAGTGAAAGGCTAGAAAGCATGGGCATCTGAGCTCTTCTAGCCACCTGCTCTCTGATGGTTGCTATTTTATTGACTTCTCATAGGAATTCACTTTTAGACTGTGGCATATGAAACAGTGTATGGCCATTGTAATTTCCATTTAGGGAGAATGAGAATTTTTTTTCACAAGATTGTCAGATGCATAGGAAAAAGCAAGATTCTGACTAATGAAAAACTTAAGGCTTTGTTACATTATAACATTAATTAAAAGATCATGATTTTCATCTGATTAGGCTAAATGATATGAATGGGTTAGAGAAGTACTTTTCCTTTTGAGGGTTCTAACTTAGAAGACAGCAGAACACATGAGGTTTAGAAATCCAGGAGACCTTCCTGGAGAGGAAACTGGCAGATACATATGAATGGCCATCTCTTTAGAAAGGTGGACCAGTTACACAAGATTTTCTCTCTTTATTTTTAGCCTATACGACATTGACCTGTAATTACAGAATTCTGTGTAGCCCAGAGATGGCTTTGGACTATTTCTTTTCCTTTGCATTTTTGTAGTGTTGTTTTGTTCCTTTTAATTAATAATCCCATTGGTCAGTAGCGTTTTAGGTATGAAATGAATTTTCAAAAATTAGTAATTAAATCTTTTTATGTTTTTTGTTTTATTCATTCATTGGCTTAAATACATTGTTTGATTTGAGCATTTACTGATTTAGTTCCTGGTAATGCTTGATGGTCATAAGTCATTCACTGAATGCTTGGATTATTGTTAAGAGCTCTGCCACTGATTTCCAGACTTCTGTCCCCTTTCCCCTTCAATCCATCTTGCCAGAGGTCAGCTGGTCAGTTTTTCTGAAGTGCTGCTGTTACCTTATTTACATTGGCAGTCAGTAGTAGTAGTATTGGTGGTAAATCACATCCCTTTTTCTCTTAACTCTAATAGATCAGTTTGGAGGTAATCTACAGAGTCCAATTGTAAACTGGATTGAAGAACTTCCTTTGCCTTGTGGTTAGATTCAGGCTTTTGTTACTTTCTTAGTTGACTTTACCGAGACTGCAGATAATCAGTAGGGTTGGGCATGTCATGTCCTGTCTTTACTTAGAGTGGAGATCTTTACTGAAGCTGGTTTTAAACTCAAGAGATTCCACTGATGGAGTTCTTTCTGCCTTTTTTTTTTTTTTAACATTTTGACTATGTATTAGACTGAAAGAAGACAAACATAAAAGTTGTATAAGTATAGACCCTGAACTGGGGACCCATCGGGTGTGAGAAGGGAAGAATGTAAATGATATGACAGAAACAACTTTCTTCTCACGTCTTGGACTGTTTCTATCCCAGTGTTTGCAAAAACTCAGGGAGTACTTATTCTTTTATCTCCAGATTTTTGAGTAATTAGGCCAACCATCACAGACCTTTACCAGATCTTTAAGGAAATAGCTATCAAATTTAATGCTTGATTAGTAAATGCATACTCATTTACTTACCATTTTATTTTTTTTGTGCTAGCAATGTATCTTGCATTGTTTGTTATTTTAACTGCCAGTGGATTAGTGAAGGAAGGATGGTGTCACAGCAGTATTGTCTATGAGTTCTTTCATTGACAAACTTTCATAAGTCAAAAAAATGGCCTTAAAAGTATTCAGGAAACAAACAGAAATGTAAACAAATGTAAAACCTGGTATGATTGTATACAGAATAGCTGAAAAGATTGAGATGATTGTTTTGGGTCCAGAGGAAGTCCTTGATGGAGTGAGTATTCAGCTATGTATGGAAGGAATTATAAGATGAAAAAAAGACTTAGAGTGGAAGACTAAAAGGTATTTAAACAAATGCTTTAGAGGGATTCCAGCTTTAGGGTAATAGACCAAGCATGTTTTATTTTCCTTTTATATCTTCTTGGAAGAACACCGGGGTGAATTCTTCAAAGGTAAGAGATGTCACTGCATTTTTGGATGAGAGGGGCTAGTGCTACCCATCAGGTTAGTTGATATATGCTACCTATATAGTATAATTTATTTTGGGGGAGTTTTTGTGTGTTATAAGTGTATATAGTAGGTGTGTTTTGGGATAAATATGTCTTTTATTATAAAACTAAGTTTGACTTTGCTTTTACTGAAAATAGGTATTTTAGCCTCAAAAACCTGTGACTTCCATTTCTTTTTTTCCTGTTCTACTAATTCTAACTGAAAACTAGAAAAGAGAAGGACTTTAGAAGATTTATTTGATCTAGACTCAAGTACTTAAATGGTAATAGTATTAGATAGGCCTTGTATTTGCTTTTCAGAACTCTGGTTATAAGCAACACATACCTAACTTGAATTAGATTAAGTTAAAAATTGGGATTAAAAAAAATTAGGATTAAGTGGCTCAGGAATCAAATTGAATTCCACCAGGATTCTTCATCTCCAGCTCATCTTTGCACTTCTCTGATAACAGCTCCAGTCTTTGCAAATGCTTTCTTCTGAAGGTTTGAATCCTGGCTGTCTGCAGCTATAGACTCAAAGCTGTACAGCTTATTGGCCCAGGAGGAAAATATTTATTGTCTTATCTACTCCTATGGAAAAATTATTGTTTTAGAAGGACTCCCTGGTTGGTCTGGCTGAATCATGTGTGCATCTCTGGATCATGGTGATAAAAAGGAATAGGATAGCATAGCCCAGCTTGAGCTGTGCTCACTCATAATCTGGACTTCAGTGTTTGGCATCAGAAAAAGATGCAGAACAAATGCAGTGTACACTTCTCAATGAAATAGGTATATATAGAAATAAGTTACTTTAAAAATGACATATAGTATGTTATCTATATAAAATAACATTCAAATGATGGTTATTGTGTATATATGTGTGTCTTTATACTCCAGCATGCCTTTGCTAAAAGAAAGATCATAATATTTTTTTCATTTTTTTCATCTATTACCTAGCTTCTGTTTGTATTCCCTGTTACTAATAAGAAATCTGTAGGGAGGAACTGTAAGATTGTACAAATAGACTGCTCCTTATTAACTTGTTAACTTCCCTTGATGACTTTTTTTTTCTTCTTATTTTTCTTTGGTGATACCTGGGTTTCAACTCAAGGCCTCACACTTACAATACAGGTGCTCTGTCACTGAGTCAGGCCCCACCTTTTTTTTTTTTTTTGGTTCTGGTTATTTTTGAGATGGGATCTTACTTCCTGCTCAGGTATCTGCTTAGACCATGATTCTTCTATTCATAAACCACTAAAATGTGCCTGCACCATCTTGTCCAGCTTCCATTTAGATGGAGCCTAATAGACCTTTCTACCCAGGCTAACCTAAAACCACAGTCCCCCCAATCTTTAGCCTCTCAGATAGCTTGATTTGCATGCATGAAGTCCCTCACCTACCCAGACCTATCTTTTCTGTGGTGGTTACAAGATGGTTTTCCTCCTTTACTGCCTCCTCCATATATATATATCACTTACATGCTCTATTAAGCAAGGGTTCTTTCACTTCTCTCTGTCTCATTCATTATATCTACCTGTCATCATTATGGAGTCCTGTAGCTTTCAGTGATGCAATTAGTTCTCACTGTTTTCAGTTACTTTGGTGTATAAATGGCTCCAGTTTGGGGGCAGCAATAGCTCTTTAAGATGTCTCAGTATCATTTTGAGACATTCTACTTAGGTTTTTATGTTTTTAAGCACTTCCTTATTTTCTGACATCTCAAGATGTTTCAAGCTTAGCTGCTGTCTTCTCTTTTTTAGCTTTGGAATCTACCATTTCTCTGAGGAGAAACCAAGCTCTGAGTGTTGGATATTGCTCTTATGAAGCCATAAATGGATGCATCCATGAATGAAGTCAGAGCCCTTATCCAGTTATTTCCCCAGAGCCTTATATCTGACCACTGCTGGGTTGGGGATCATGTTTTCAACTAATGAGCCTTTGGGGCACAGTTCAGATCCAAACTGTAACATCCTCTTTCTCCCAGAAGTGGAAGATGTAATCGGTACTACATCTGTAAGTCCCATGAGATGGAGGGGGTTTTCACCATGTACTGGTATCAGGCTATTCATTTGAAACACTTGGATTCATTTGAGCTTATTTTTGTCTTTAAGAGTGTGGTTTTGGTGGTGGTGGTTTTATTTTAATATGTAGACTTTTCAAGATATCTCAAAAATCAACTCTGCTCAGCGAAGTGTCACTTCCTTCTCTGGTCCTTGTGCAGTAGTCCTGTCCATTACAGGTAATTACTGTTTCTGCCTCTGTGTGTGTGTGTGTGTGTGTGTGTGTGTGTGTGTGTGTGTGTGTGTGTGTGTGTGTGTGTGTGTGTGTGTGTGTGTGTGTGTAATGCTTTTTCCCCTATACAGAATGATGCTGTTTGCACTTTGCTTTTACCATTTCAAACTCAGTGCCTAACACTTTCAAGGCAAATGCTTTGCCACTGAGCCATCCATCTGCTTTTTGCACTGGTAATTTGAGATAGAGTCTCACCTTTTGCTCAGGTTGCCCCTGGACAACAGTCTTCCTATTTTATACTTCCCACTGTAGTTGGGATGACAGGAATGTGCCACCACACCCAGCTTTTTCCACTGAGGTAGTCTTGTGTTTTTTTGTTTTTTTTTGTCGGTCGTGGGGCCTGAACTCTGGGCCTGGGCGCTGTCCCTCAGCTCTTCAGCTCAAGGCAAACACTCTACCACTTGAGCCACAGCATCACTTCCTGTTTTCTGAGTGGTTTATTGGAGATAAGAGTCTCATGGCCTTTCCTTCCCAGACTGGCTTTGAACTGTGATCCTCAGATCTCAGACTCCTGAGTAGCTAGGATTACAGGCATGAGCCACTGGCATCCAGTGTCTTGTGAATTTTTTTTGGACCAGGCTGTCCTGAAACTGCAGGTAGCTAGGATGATTGGCATAAGCCTCATACCAGTTTCCTATACAATTTTTAGAATGGAAAGCCATTCTAATTATACCTCTGAGATAAGCATGCTGTGAAATTTTAGCATGTTTTAAAACTGCTTGGCCTGAGTCCCTTCTCCATACTGATAAAAAGTAGACGTGCTTTCACTACCCCCAAACTCCATTGAGGGTCTAGTCTCTTCTTAAATCTATAATCCTCTAAAATAGCAGAACTCCTGGAGTTTCATTTCCAGAAGTTGTCATTATGGTGAACTATTGTAGCCAGTAGGTCAGTCTTCACTTCAGATGGGCTGACTTTGTATTGGCTTGGTTGGGCTTTGGGGTGAAGTGTATTCCTGTACATTGTGTTGATTAACTCTACTAATGGGAACCACCAATATTGTCTCTTTCCTGGCCCTCTGGACTTGGTCACTTCTCAAGTCTTACTACTTCTGCTCTTGCTGGGCCTTGTAAAGCATCCACACCTTTATTGGTTGTACTAGTACAGGTCTTCAGTCTTCTTGACAGAACTTGCTTTTGTGGCTTTTTTCCCATTGGGAGAAGTGTGAACTCTGACCTCAAATGCCCATAATTTTCCCTTTCAGCTACATAGTGTGACCAAGTGTGCTTGCTGGTCATTGGCCACACACATGTCTTAAGAAATGTGTCTGTGATGCTGTTCCATTCCCACAAATACAGTGGAGGTTTCCCAAAAGCACACACAGGCATTGCCTTGGTTCCTTCTTCATAGAGTCCTAGCCTTTTTTTAATTCAATCTGACTTATTTTCACTGTGACTCAGATGCTTCACAATAATATATGTAGGAATATAGATGCTGTCTGCTTCATAGCTTTGCTGAGAAGGGCTCAGAACTATACCTGCAGGAACTATTAGCTGTAGTTAGTGTTACTGATTACTATTTCTTCTACCTGTGTCTGTCAAAATTCTGTATATCCTTGCCCAAGTAGGTTTTTCTAATGTTCCCCAACTTCAAGTAATCCTGTCCATCCATCCATGCATGTACCCAACTCTCCGTGGTTTAAAAGTTTTAGGATTTGCTTGAATATTTGCTATGTATAAAACATAAGAAATGCAAAACCTAATGCAAAAACTTTCCTCTAGGAACTTAGAATATGATAGGAGAGATCAGAGAAGTATAAAATATTCATTCACTGAGTAAAGGTTTGTTGAGCAACAGTATAGGATCCAGAAATTGTATGTTGTTTTTGAGTTCTCAGCATGATGTCATGGTTAGTGACTTTAACTTTGGTTAAACATTAGAATTTGAATACCTTAAGCAAAGCATGATTAAAGTGTTTGAAGAATGTGGAGAAGAGTTTATCTTACAGAGGGATCAGGGAAGGCTTTCTAGAAAAGGCTTTCTTGCAAGATGGGTGGACTTCCATCTCTGATGAAGCATTCCTGCTCTTGCTGCCCTGGACTAAGGCCGGAGGTAGACTGCAAGGTTTTCATGACTGTGCACTTGTTAAAAGCAAAGACAGTGTTCACTTCATTTGAGAGTTCCTGGTACTCGCTCCATCCCAGTCATGTTCATAGACCATGCCCAGTAGAAAATGATGACAGATTAGGGACAGATTAGGTAACTTAAAGGGACATTGTAACTTGATGATTCTTTGTTACTGTGAAGCAATCAAACTTCACAGTAATAAAAATGAAAACATTTGTTAAACTAAAAGTGAGATCTTTTGGGTGTTATTTTATAACTCTTAATCATAGGAGTAATTTGAGTTTTCAAAACTGCCCAACAGCTTTAATTCTGACTTTCTCCTTGTAGCAGGGAGCAAGGACCAACCCCAGTGGAGAGAAAGAAGAAAGGAAAAAGGAAAAGTGAGACCACACTGGAGAGTTTAGAGCTGGACCAGGGCCTGCGGAACTCATCCCTGCGGAGTACTGAGGAGTCCACTGAGTCTGCAGACAGCCAGGTACAACTGGCACGGGGAGCCTGCTGGTGGCTACAGCTGCTAGATGGCTAGTGCTCTTCTATGCCTGTCTCCAGCCTGGGCTGGGCTTGTACTGTCGGGTGAGCAGCTAGATCATATGCAAGCTGTTTGTCTAGCTTGATTCGATACTTAACAACTTCTCAGATTTTTAGGGGTGTCTACTTCCTTCTTTTAAAGTATCTTATTTGCCTTCTGAAGAAGTTGATGTTGAAAAATGAGGTGAGCTAGACCAGGGAAGACTCAGGGGAATGTTTTGCCGTGGTTTGTAATGGAGTTATTGCTCAGAGTGTTAGGCCAGTGTGTACCAGGACACCTTCATAATCCCAGGTGCTGGAAAAGTGAGGGAAGTTTTCCTTATGCCAAAGCAGTAAAGATGTGGAAACAAGGAACATCGAGTTCAGTTCCTAATGTGTGCCAAGGTGTGTGCCCATGCATTGGTGGGGATTTTCTCCTTAAGTTTAGGTAACTGTTCATAGAGATGAATTCTAACATTTGGACGTGCTATTCCTTTGATATACACAGGAGTTTATCTATCTGTGGTGCTACAAGGAGGTCATTTAGAGTAAGATTGACCTTTCAGGATTATCTGGACACCGTTCAGTTTTTCATTGATCTCCACTGTAGGAAGGTTGTCAGCTTATAAAAATCATGGTATTCATTTCCTGTAAACTGGGGCTAGTGGCTGTTAAGTATCCAGATTAGTAGGAGAATAAGCACATTGCCTTAAGAGGATCTGGCGAGGAGTCGCATGTTTAGAGGATGTTGATCTGTCTATGGATATGGGGGAGGAGTTAACTATTAAGATGTGACAAGGTGAAGAACTATTAAGGTGTGACAAGGTAGGAATGTGGAGAGATGCTTGGGGGTTATCTTTTAGGGAATAATAGGGCGATATTTTGCTTAGATTTACTTTTTAAAGTTGAAATATGTGAGACTGTGCTAGCTTGTAAAAATAGTTCCTTGAGATGGATTCTGCTGCTTGTGTATAAGGAGTGTGTAGAGGCCAACTGTGTACTCTTTGATGTGAGGAAAAGTCACTGCACCTCTCTGTTGATGTTGTCTCTAAATGGACTGATTGACTACAGACAAATTCTTAGATGGTGGTTTGTTGTTTGTCACACTTTTGCCATCTTTACATTTCAAACAGTTAAGAAATCCCCAAAGGAAGTCTTAATAAAATTGGTATATTTGTAAATATTTGTAGTAAATATGGTGAATTCAAGCAGAGTAATTAAATAACAACTTTGTCCTAAACTCTGAGCTTATAGTTAATGCTAGAGTAGACCTCAGAAATGGAGTTCTTCACATCCCTCTTGTATAGGAATAGAAGGCTACTGCAGAAAAAGGAAGAATATCACTGCCAGTGGTAAAGCACACCTCACTGGTTTCTTGAGGCAGTTCCTTCTTCTAAGTGGATCTCAAGGGTTTGGAGATTGGTCTTTTATTCCATACCATACCATCTGAGTGAATTTAGTTCTTAAGAGAGTCCTGTTTAAAATATTCTTTCTGTAAGGTGAGAAAGCACTGCTTGCCATATTAGTAAGTATATATTAGGCTAGTTTTGTGCAAGCTTTTGCCTTTGAGTTCGAGCTGCTCTGATGGGTGTGTTTGTCCTGCAGAAGCGACGCTCAGGACGGCAAGTGAAGCGCAGAAAATACAACGAGGACCTAGACTTCAAAGTGGTGGATGATGATGGGGAAACAATCGCGGTTCTTGGAGCTGGCCGAACATCTGCACTCTCGGCTTCTACACTGGCATGGCAGGCTGAGGTATGGCTTTTGCATCAGGGTCCTGACCTTGGAGTTCTTCTGTAACTTTTGATAAAGCATACATTACATCATCTTAACTTCTGCAGGCAGCCTTTGGATGACTTCCTGTTACTTAGCATAACATTCAGGCTCGCTGTTCTCAACAGCACCCTCTGATCACACCCTTTCCCTCTCCCACCAGAGCCATTTTAGATCAGTTTGTTTTCCTTCTCATTTTTTGCCACCAAAAAAGCTAGTCCTCTTTTAATGAATTACCCATTTTCTCCCACCTGTACTGTTGCTTCTGCTTGGGGTTGGTTACACAGCTGCTTTACCCTAGGTTCACTTTTACCTAAAACAGTGTCTCCTTAGGGTGGTCTTCCCTGCCTCCTTTGTCTGAACAGATAGCTCTCTCATCACACTAGCTCTCTGCTTCAGCTCCTTGAAGTTCCCTCGTGGCACTTAACTACAATCTGTAGTTGTAGCTACTGTGCCTGATCTCTGGTTTTGTCTTGTTTCTCATTAAAGTACAAAAGTTTTCTATGAACTAAATACTTGTTCAGAGAATTAACTAAACTAGCAGTTTCAGGTAGAACTTCGATTCAGCTAAAGTATATTGAGAATCTACTACAAGGGGAGGCCGCGGGGTACACGGATGAGAAAATATGGTTCTTCCGTCACAGAGCTTTGTTTAGTAAAAAGGACACATGGCTGTATTGATACTGTGATTAGTGCAGCCCTGGAAATACTGCTTGATACATAGGCCACAACAGAGGCATGTGGAGAGGACCTAGGAGGGACATTTCCTGAACAGCACCATAGTACTGTTGGCCCAAGGACGAGCATGAGTAGTCTGACCAGTGGAAGAGCACGGGTGGGCACTGGGGTGTGATTTGAGGCGTGATGGGTTATGAGAGCTGAGAGGTAGGAAGACGCACACTGTCCACTGAGATAGATGTACAGCCTTTGTAATGTCATAGCATGTTTGGTTTTAGCAGTTGTCATTGACAACCTTGTTTAGGAGAAAGACAATAGCATTAGGAGTTGGTATACAGAAGTACAAGATAAAAAAGGTTGAATGTTGAAAAGGAGGAGGTCTGTGCTAAAGAGTTCTAGAGAAGAAATGCAAGGCAAAAGGCAGCAGCAGGCTGTGCGGGTAGGAAGGACATCATTGCCAGTAGCACATTCGGGGACACAGACTGTGTGTTGTTTTAGAGCCTCTGTCACTTACTTGGCAGTATTTACTCGGTATACCAAGTGGCAGCTCAGTTACCTGACTCTCCTGGACATTCATATGTACCACAGAGACTTCTTGATCATTTTCTTATCATTTCACATATTCTCTCATCGTCTTTGTGTGGAAAGGAGCAAGGAGTGGAACAGGGGTTATTGTCTCCACTTAACCCAGAGTGATCCAGAAACAGTTAATCAGTAACTAATACAGAAGAGCTGATTTCATACCTCTGCTGAAGGTTATTGAACTAATGAATATAATACTTAATAGGGAGTAACAATGTGATGTATAACGATTGCAGTACTTTTCAAACAAATAGCTAAAACTGTCATGGGGTGTTAAGAATGTGATACTTTATAATTGGTTTTCTTTCCTTAAGGATTTTATGGTTGATTTGCTAGTTAAAATACTACAAGAGATTTCATTTTCTCCTGGTAGCCATTTAGACTAAACTATTTACCATATTTCAGATGTTGTTATGACTTCTCCCCTGGTACCTGAGGAGCAGCAATAGCTGTTCTGACAGAAATAATTGAGGAAATTTTATGTATCTTTATCAAGGCTCTCTTTCCTTCTAAGGCAGGGCTGGGGAACCTTTTTCTGCCAAGAGCCATTTGAATATTTATTAGCATCATTCATGGGCCATATACCAATTTATCGATACAGGCAGATGAGCTATATAGGGCAGCTGATTAAAAGCTTAAGTGTCTGTCCCATTGTATACCAAATGATTTTTACCTTACACGGCTTGCCAATCTGACATTTATTATAGTAGTACTGAGGATTGAACCCAGGCCTTCCTCAGACTAGGCCAGCACTCCACCACTAGAGCCATACCTTCTGCCCTTCTGTTTGTGTTCCTGTTCTGATCCTCTTATAGCTGCCAAGTGGAGAGGATTAGGGGCGTGTGTCACCATGTTTAGCTATGACTTACCCTTCTTTTTTTCAAACTGATGTCAGTGCCTGGATCACAGACAGACTTTCACAGTTCTGTGATACACTTAAAATGTATAGACTTTGACATAACTCTGGTTTTGACAGTGTGGTAGTTGGTATGTTTGTTACTTTTTAGAACAAAAAGACTTGAGTCTGAATGAAGCTTCAGTTCATGGTGCTCAACTGTGTTATTATTGCTTTTGGTACCCTCTTTATCTGGTCTTTTCTCTTGCCTGACATGCTGAGCTCCCTGCCCATCCTTTGTGCTCCAGGAGCATGTGTATATTTAACCCTGTCATTGTCCTGCTATTGTTCTTTGAATACCTGCCAATTGTTGTCACCTCCTAAACCAGGAGCTGTTCTGTGGTTGATGGTGTATGTTTTATATTTAGCCCCAAGAACCATTTAGATGAAACCACTCTTAGCTACTTTCTCTTACATTTTGTAATGTTCCTGTTGTCATTGTGTGTATACCTGAAGTCCGGATAACTGGAACTTTTATTCCATTCAGACTATTCTGGTTCTTAGTGCCTCTGCCATACTGTATTGAGGACTAGTCTTAATTAATTTCTGAATCAGATTGTAAGCTTGTGCAAGAGAGGCACCAGTGTTTAATTTTTCATAATTTTTACTTAGTATAAGTAGAACTTTCTTACATAGTAGCTAACATAAAGATTTGCACTTAGTTGTTGTACTTATGTATTTACTTAATGAAGGATTAAGATAGATTTAAACCCATTATGTACATTTTTTAATACCCAGATTAGGAAGGCAAGAAAAATACTTAAAAATTTTTCCCAGACTCTTATTTTCTTACGCTGGAATTAGTTTTCCCATTGAGTCGTCTCCTCAGTTCCTTCTGCTGTTTGGCATTGCTGTGCTTTTGTACCAGGCGGCCACAGCCACTTGGGCCCTTCATCTTTAGGCTCCTATCCACAGCCATATTTGATGGTTTCCTGTCTTCATTGGGTTTCTCTTCAGATTGTTTCCTCTGAGTGTGTCCTTGGTCTTTGCTGCCATCCTCTGTGCTGAGGCCAGTGTTCAGACCATTACAGCACACTGTTCTGTAGTTCCCTGCTACAGGTCTCTGCTTTTTCTAATCTGGTACTAGACTAATTCCCCAGACTACCAGAGGAATCTCTCAGTGTCTTACGCACAAATCTGAGGTGGCTACTAACTGCTGTATTGTAGAGAATTCAGGTCTGCTTTTTTTCCCCCTTAACCTTAACCTCCATCTATTTCCCGTCATTGTTGATGCTTTTACTCTAATACGACAAGTTTCTACTCTGTATTCTGGATATGAACTTTTTAGGCTCTTAATATCCTTGCTCTTTTGTAAGCCATCATCCATTAAGGCCCACAAAACCTCACCTACTCTGTGAAATCCAAACTATTCTTACTTTCTGAACTCTCGTTGACTTGTAGTTATGGTCATACTATTAGCATTTAGGACATTCTAAGACAGAGATGCTTACTGTGCCTTCCCTGGATGAGTGTGAGCCCCTTAATCCCAGCACTCTGCATCACTTCTGAACCTTCCATGGTACCCAGTGAATAACCTATTGCTGTAAAAATCCATGTGCTTTCCTTAGACCTCTTCTCTGGTTAGCTAAATAGAAGTATAAGAAGTAGTTAGTTGAGATTGGGGGTGAATAGATTTTAAGATTTTGAGAATTTCCTCTAAGGATAAAAATTTTAAATTGTATGAATCTCTGACATATAAGCAAATGAATTAAAATGGTCTTTTTGAAGGATAATTTGAGAAAATTCCAAGTGGTTAAGAAACAGATGGTTGTTATGGAAGTGTGTTTGGCAGGCAGATTTAGTTTATATAAACTGTGTGTATCTGTATACACTGAATGTTTATACACACACGATTGTGCTTATGTGCAATCTCTGTTTAGGGAAAGGAATCCTGCTTTTCCAGTTTGCTTTCTACTTGGATTTGTAGTTTAGTGGTGCTACTTCCTGTTCCTTTCTTTAAGATAGAATTTTTTAAAAAACAACATTCTGCTCTCAATGGGTTTTTTGTTATGTTTTTTAAGTCAGTTTCTTTTGTTTTTGAGACAAGAGTTTCAGTATATAGCCCAGGTTACTGTGTTGCCTAGACTGGCCTTGAACCCAAAATTCTCTTGACTCAGCTTTGTTTTTGCAAACATCTAAATGAGATGATCGGCCAGAGGGCCAAAGGTGGAAATAGCTAGGGAGAGGCTTAACAGTAAGCCTCATTTTAAAAAAATAATCATTGTCAGTAGCAACAAATGCTAGGAAGAGGACATGGATGCATAGAATTCAAGGGTGGTGGTTGCAGTTTTCAATAAGCTGGGCTCCTTGCCTTTAAAATTGAGAGGAGAATTTAAAAAATTTAAAGGAGAAGTCATGTAGGGAGGGGAAAGAGCATTTCAAGTAGAGAGAATGATCTATGCCTTGACCCTGATGTAGAATCATGCCTACTATCTGACAGTTAAGGAGACTTGAGAGGTAGCAGAGGAGGTACATACAGACCTGTTGTTTTGTTTTATGCTAGGTTTTTTGTTTTTTGTTTTGTTTTGTTTTTGGGTCTGGTCGTGGGGCCTGAACTCTGGGCCTCGGTGCTATCCCTCAGCTCTTCAGTTCAAGGCTAGCGCTCTACCACTTGAGCCACAGCGCCACTTCCGGCTTTTTTCTTTTTGCTTATGTGGTGCTGAGGAATCGAACCCAGGGCCTCGAGCATGCAAGGCAAGCGCTCTACCACTGAGCCACCTTCCCAGCCCCTAGGTTTTTTTTTGTTGTTGTTGTTTTTGTGGTAGTACTGAAGTTTGCATTCAGAGTTCATACCTGCTAGGCAGATGCTCATATTTCTTGACCAAAT